TACGAGTTTTCATTCCACTAAAAGTTAAATTTATTAACAAACACTAGATTTTGCTGAACGCGTTCATACCAAACACCACCAGAAGAATCTTCACTTACATGGCTTATGAACTGATTCATATTGCAGATACAAGTAAACACATGAAACTCAATGCTAAGTGAAAATATTTTTTCCACTTTCCTGTAAATACTTGATACCACAAAAAATTGTCATTTATATTGTAATGTTGAATTTTAAAATCAAAATTCCATTGTTTTCCAAACGTAAGACCTAAAATTTTGTTTCTTACGATAAATGGATATCTACAAATTCACATTTTTGAGATTTCGCTACATTTTATGTCTAAAATCAAACTGCATTCTGCATTGCGACCTTTTGATTTCGGTTTACACGTTTATAAAGTGCCACAAGTTCACTTCAGAAAATAAGATTAAGGATACTTAGATTTTTAATTAATTTTATCAATAATAAACATTAGGGACCTGAAATTTCCTTTAAACCACATAATAAAAGATGTATTGTGTTTTTTATCAAATATTTCTAAATCTTTGTGTAGCATATATATTTCCGACAAATTAGTCTTACTAAACTTAAATTAACACTAAATGAAACTCAAAAACACTATTATAATGATAATAATATCTAAAAACAGTTAAAAAATAACAAATACAAAAGGCCGTCCAAAACCAACACAACGTAATTAAACGAATATCTTACTTATTGGTGACAAATGACAAATTAATTTGAATCGCATATAGCGACCCTGGTTAATGCGATATGAGATATTTCATTTTGTAAATGGTAACAACATTTAGTTGTACGAACTTTAATTTGACTGACAAATACTCGTACTAATCTGAATTTTATTATCAAAGATTATATCCGCTATACCTACATTCAGATAATTTTCCGAGAATTAAGGTTTAGCTGTATTCTGACTTGTTGCGGTGTTTACTTTTAATTTGCATGTTTACCTATTCTATTACATATTTACATACTTTTGCAAACTCGTCATTCGTTAGCTGGCAATTCTCTAAACTTTCAACGAGTTAGAAGTGTCGACATCACTCGGATTAACTTAGTATCGGTGTCGGCCACTCAATTTTAAGGCATGCCCATAATTTCTCGAGTAGATTAGTTTCGGATGATAGAGTGGTAGCCGCAAGGCTTCGTGAACTTTATCTTCTACCATTAATACGTTGAGAAGTTTATGAACTTCTATCTATAATAGAGAAGATCATTATAGTTTATACAAAACTAATAGGCAAGTGATTTTACTTGAATGTCTTTACGTAGCCAAGAAATTTTCATAAAAATTAACAATAATGATTTTTTCCTACGACCACTTAGGAAAGTGACACATATCACACTATATAGACCTATGGAAAGTGCCCTATATCACAGGCGTATGAATAAGAATTTACTTTCCACCCAAGTGAGAATATGCTACTTTCCGCAGTAGCTGTCAGAAAATGTCAAACACATAATTTCTATTTTGATCTATGTAATGTCCATATTAATGCTAAAATCGATATGATTGTTAAATTATTGTAAATTAGATCCTAGATATTTATCTTTAACAATTATTTTTAAAATAATTTTAAAATAACTAAGATATATTTGCTTTTTATTCTGGTTAAACACATAAGCGATTAGATCAATCAATTACCGTAAGGCCTGTTAGCTCAGTTGGTTAGAGCATCAACTTTGCAATTTGAGACCGTCCAACGACCGCGATCGAATCCTGGCTGTGCCAGAATTTTTTTTTTATTTTTTTTTTATTTTTATTTTTTTTTTATTTTTTTTTATTTGTTTAGAAATTATGAAAATTTAATAAATACGATTATTGTTGATTATTTTTTTAAATACATTTTAATTATTATAATAATCTGGTTTTACATTTTTTGATGAAATTATTTTGTGGTCGTAGGAAAAATATTGTACATCACTTGTGTGAAAAGTGATTTTCCACACTCGTAATGTAATATACTATTTCTACACCCACATGGATATTACCTTATCTACGCACAGATTACAAAACGAAAAAGTATGCTATTGCCTTCAACTAAACGAATATATTTCATATCCATTCTAGGTAGTGAGAACACTGTAAAAAAAATGAAATCCGCCAATCAACGTTCATATTTTGATCAACCGATTGCTATTATTTTTAAAATTTTAAATGTGACAATTCTGTCAAACTAATTATCAGTATATTTTTTAGTTATTGAGATTAAACATACATTAAAATGGGTTATTCTTGTGTAGAATAATAAATAATTTTCTGTTTTTATTTCGTCTATAATCATAAATAATTTGTTAATTTAAATGAAACTATATGAAGTCAATTTAATTACGAGTATTAAAGCAACAAAAATAAAAGAATAGTTGGTCCTGTGGTTAGCGTTCTTGCCTTCCACACTGAAAACTCGAGTTCGATTCTTATATGCGAAAAATGAAATTGGATATAAAATTAATGTCCATAAGGCAAAGTTCAGTTTTTAGTATGTGCCAGAATCATGTGTTCATGGGTTTGTCTCCAACTCTTTTTTGTCAAGTTGTACCATGTGTCGGTCAATACTAGTTAAAAAATTTACATTGATATTGAAATTAAAGGAAAACGCTACTTTGACCAAAATGTAAAAAAGTCACTGTCAAGTCATTCTGACATTTATAGGATACTGAGACGCAAGTAGCTTTGATTTGATAACAAAACTTATTTATTATTATCTCAAAAAAACGATTTCTTCCACTTGTTTGTTGGATAAAACATCATCATTATACTCTGTGGCAGAAAGTTCATGTAATATACAGGGTGTTTCAAAAAGGTATGTCATAAATTCTTCCACAGAAGAAAAAATAAGTGGATTTGGCTATATTTACCTATTTTAAAAACTAGCTCCCAACAAAGTTACAGGGCGTTAAACTAACATTCAGAAAAACGTTTTTTTTTTTGTAAAAAGTTTGTTGTTACGATTTTTGCTTTGAAATGTTTGCCAGTGCTGTAGATTTGAAGGCCCAATATTCTAAAATGAAAACAAATTTAAAGCGACCCCTTTAAAAAATGTAACAATGTGTAGTTATTCTATAGGGTGTTTTTTCTGGGAATATTTATCAGTAATAGTTTTTAATCACAATTTTCTTCTAAATGCCTAATTAAATGTTTTATTGAATGTTTTCTTGTATAACCTATTTGATCATTTTTTTCTCTTCTTTAAGGTGTATCCATAAAACAAGTTTGTAAAGTAGACCTTGAAACATTCACGTATGTCGAGCATAAAACCCTTCATCTTTTTAAGTGTCAGTTTGGATTTAATTCTGAGCCACGCGTAGTTAACACGGACTTGACTCGTATCTCTGTCTTTGTCTTAAAACACATTTTTTGTTGATCACTCTTTATTTTATTGTTGATTGAATTGATTGTGAGCTCTGTATGAATTTAAACTCTATTGAATAGTAGAACTAGTCATGGAACCGCGTTGAGAAAAAGTCGTTTTGCTGGAGAGTTCCAGTTGTTTTCAAAACACAAAGAACATAAATAGCGAGAAGTGACTTGTTCGAATTTGAAATGTGTTGTACACTTAGATGTTTTGCACCGAAAATGGCAAATTTTAAAGGTGTTTATTGAATTTTTCTTAAGTAAAAGGTGTTTCATAATTTAATTTTCATTATTGCATGGGACTTTTAAAAGCGTTTATTACCATTATCTTAACTTCTTCTTCAATGAAAAGACGTTCATAGTTTAATTTTCTTTATTTAACGTTATTTAGTTAGTAACTAACGCTTTTTGGTAGACGATTTGTAAGCATAATTGTATCACTGTGTGTAAATTCTACTACACGCTAAGGAACCGATGATTTTTCAAAATTATTATATCTCAAGGTGTTAAAAACACATTTTTAACCGTAAATAAATACTTAATACGCCTCTGTGCAAGTGCGAGCCTTTAGTAAGAAGCTATTATTTAAAACTCAGGAAGTAACCAGTTATGAGCAAAACATTTGTGACGTCAACTTTAAAGCAGGTGTCTGTACAATTACATCACTCAAAACCATTCTATATAAAACCAGCCAAAAGATAACGCTACGTTGAACAAAATCATTGGTCCAACCCCAGACAGAGGTGTGACTTAATAACTCACGTCACTGAGACAATTAGAAGCATTGAAATAATATTTTGCATTACGAGTGTGAAAAATCACTTTCACACAAGTGATATACAATATTTTTCCTACGACCTATGCCTTATTGAATAATTTTTAAAGCGTTTTACAGATAGTGTTTCCATTTACAAACAATTTCATAAAGATAAAATTACATTAGACACAAAAAATATTAGAATACCTTAAATGTTTTTCATTAGTTCATTTTTTAAACAAATAAGTTGAACGACCCTGAACAAAAACTTTTATTATTAATGATTACCCAATTTTCTATTCACAGTAATTACAATTCTACAAAATAAATAGCAAAAAGAATATTGTAGGTGTTATATTATAATAAGTAACATGTATTTTAATTAAATAAACAACAATAGTCGTATTTTTCCAATTTTAATTTTTTCAAAATAAAAAAATAAGTACTTTAAAATTATTTCAATAATTTGTTATATAGAAATATCTAAGATCTATATTTAAAAAATTAATGTTAACCATTTAATCATCAAATCGATTTTACTATTAAAACAGAAATTATACCTTTGACATATTTGACATTATGTGGAAAATTGATTCATATTCACACACGGGTAGAAAGTAGATTCATTCACATGCGTGTGATATAGGACACTTCCCATAAGACTAAATAGTGCGATATGTGTCACTTTCCTAAGTGGTCGAAGAAAAAATATGTTTTAAATATCCATTCCTTTTTTTATTATTCTCACAGCTCGCTTTGGCAGGAGTCAATAGAATGCCGTAGTGTGCAAACACGCATTTACTCACCTCTTTTCACAAGGTATTATTAATTTACGCAATTTAATCAATTATTTTTATTTTTCAGAAATTCGCGCGATTCTCGACAATCCCGCCCTCTTCGAGAAATACGAAGACTTCATGGTACGTAGAGTGCTAGCGGTAGATCCGGACACCCGATGGTGCCCTGCGCCGGATTGCTGCTTCGCTGTAATAGCCAGCGAATGCGCCAGCTGTCCGAAGATCAGGTGCGAACGTCCCGGATGCGATTCGTATTTTTGTTACCACTGCAAGGCCGAATGGCACCCTAATCAGACCTGTGATGCCGCTAGGGCGCAGCGATCGCCCAACATTCGGTCATCGTCGATTACTTATAGTCAGGATTCCCAGCATAGTAAGTTGATTAAATAAATATGAAAATTAAAAAGTCTTACAGTTAGATTAAGGTGATATTGAAATATATGTAGACAAACATAATAATATTTAGGCTCTTCTAGAAATTATTTTGGAAAATACCCATATGCGAAGGAGTAATTAAATTTTAAGGAGGAACGTCAAATCAGGCTTACGCTACTGAAATTGGCATATGTCATCGACTCCAAATACCCAAATCACACACAGTCTCTGTCTGAAAGTTTAATATCGATATTCTAGTTGAGAACTACACACCCTTCGATGTAGGAAGGACTGTCTAAAATTTTTATAATTAAATATGCAAACATTATTACAAAAAAATCAAGAACAGAATTCCTTTACTTCTAACTTCACAAATAGAGACAAAACTATTCTAAATCTCAGACAACTATGCTCGTAAATCAATATATCTTTTAAGCGGAGAAAGGAGTCCAACCTCTCTAATGTGGTCATCTTTTGGTGAATATCAATATAATAATATAAGCAGCCTAGCTTCTCCCAACATTATATTTTTTCTAAATTTTCCAAATTCTTCATTTTGCTTAACCCCTTCAGTGGCGATTTATTTTTGTAGCCGTAAAACAATTTTTTTGACTGTAATGTGTTATTTTAGTGTACATAAATATGATTTTGAGGTTTTTACTTTTTTTTTCATTACACCAAAGAAAAAATTATATGGATTCATTTGTACCCATCAGCACTTAAAGAAAATGAACTAAAAAAATTATTAAACCTAAAACGCTTATTTTTTAATTAAAACATATCAAAACGAACTATTTACTAAATAAAAAAAAATAGCATTATTTTCGATGAAAATCGATGAAACAATTCTTTTCTTTTTGAAGGCATAAATGAATCTTGCATTTCTATCAAGATTTTCCGCCACAATTCTGATTTTTACATCTTAACGGAAGACCTGGGCCGGAATGTTTAGGAAAGTGGCCGCCATTATCATAACGGACTTCATCTAGTGGCCTTACTTCAACATTTTGACGTTTGACGGTTAGTGGACTAGATTCATTTAGCGATGAAGGTCGCCTTTTTTTTCGATAATTATCTTGTTCCACCTTTATAAGGGATTCACCTACATGCATTCGAAAGTGCATCAAATCTAAAATATCTTTCTTTATTCCTAGAACAGCTGCATCCTTTTGGTACTCTAACCAAAAGTTGATTAACGCCATATCAATAGCATGGAAAATCATCCTCACTATCCATTTCTTACAATGACTTTTAGACCTGTAATATGCAATGAGCGCATCTGCCTTATCAGTTCCACCCATTGAACAATTGTACTTCTGTATTATTTCAGGTCGCTTTACCTCAACATAAGTTTTTGTTACCTCATCCCACCTTTTTGCAGTATCTTCTTTTCCAATACCAACTAAGTTTGAAGCTAAAGTTACTGGTTTGTTATCAAACCAGTTCACCAGTACGATTCCATCAGTAGAAACTGCAAGTTCAGAGGTTCCTACCTTTTTTTAGCAAAATCTTTCTTTTTGGAAATTGATAGTTTACAAAATCTATCACTTCTAATTGTACCGGCAGCAAGAATACCCTTTTCGTTTAGTATTTGTAGGAGATGGTATGTATTGAAAAAATTGTCACAAAACCTATGTTTGCCGGGTTTTAGATGTTCACTAAGATGTAAGACAGCTGTTGCTCCTTGCCCATATTTTTTCGAAAGATTTGGTTGGAATTCAGTCGTTTTACCTTGATAGATGAAATTATACGTTATTCCGCTTTCTCCGCTCAATAGGTAAAGTTTTATACCTCATGGATGGGGTTTATTCTTTATGTACTGTTTGAGAGAGAGTTTACCTTTAAAAGGCATCATCTGCTCATCTACGCAAAGGTTTGTTTCAATATCTAATTCTTTACATCTTTTGAAAACTGAGTCAAAAATTGGGCGCACTTTCCATAACCTATCTTCACTGTTTCTAGATGCTAAATTGTCTACACAATGTACGTGCGTGCGTAACTTAAAAATCGCTTTAGTGTCATCGTTTCAGTAAATAAATTTACTTTCAGCTTCCTCTCCCAATACATACTGAGTCTAGGAGACCTTAGATTTCCTGCCATTATCGTCAATCCAAAAAAGGCCTTTATTTCTGATAAATTTGTTGGTTGAAAGCTAGTGGTTCCATTCTGAATCGCATACATATTCGTATATTGGACTATATTTCCAAAAAAAGTATTTGGAACGCATTTTAGAAAGTACGTAATTGGATAGTTTTCAGTTATTTCATTATAAGCGACTTTTTTGACAATACAAATCTTTTGTTATATATTCATAATTCTCTAACCATTTCACAAGTTTTTTCGGAGTTATTTTCTAATATCTCATCCCCCTCGGTATTATTTATAGTTTTAATCTCATTATATGAGCTGTTTTCATTCTCATCATCTGAGCTGTCGTCGTTTTCCCTAGTGTTAGCTTCCTCTTCGTCCTGTATCCTTTCTCTAATTACCACATCCTCATCACCATCATCTGCGTCGTCACTCAAACACTATATATCAGATATGCCAGTTTCTAATTCCTGGAGGAGTTCCTCTTGGTTTAAAAATGATCGTTTCCCTCGCTTTGAAGCCATGTTGCTCTAAAAATAAAACAAAAAGACTTTTTAACAACTAAGAATAAAACACTACTTTAGTGTTTTTGGGTACAGGTGTAGACTAGAAACAATATGCTTCAGTGTTTGTAGGTACAAATGTACCCTTCAATTTTTATGACCACTTAGCCAGAACCACAAATAATATATGAATAAAATATATCTTCCATTCTTATATTCTAACAATCACAATTAAAAGATGACCATTAAAACAAACAATAATGAAAGATTAAAAATAATTTTACTTACTTCGACTGTCATCACATGAATACACTGATATTTAAACGGTTTCAACGTCAAAACGACGGCACTGCTGTTGCCATCTATGTATAGAAAGTAAAATTAGGTGTACAAGGATTACAGTTTCCATTATTCCGACTACTAGAATTAAATGTTTAAAGCTTTCACAGATTAATAATTTCAATGGGTACAATTGTACCCATGGCCACTGAAAGGTTTAATTTATGTTCGATATTTTTCATCACTTCATAGTTATAAGTATTTTTATCATCTTACAATTTTGCTCTTAGTAGTGTGTGTGTGAGTAGTTTCGATGTTTAGATTGGTCTGGCTTCGTCTTGGGTACATTCGTTGGTGTGTTGTTTTGCAAAGTTGTGCTGACGGATATGGTTTTAGTGTAAGTGGTTGCTGGCAGATATTCTTTACAGCTTCCTAACCGATGCATACTCATATAATTGAACAATTAATGGAGAAAATAAACAATGTGGCCACTGTTCTTTAAAAAAGACTAATAGTAGCATGTTTTCGTTTTATTATGTACATGTATTTTGATAACACCTTGTATAATATAAATTTGTTTTTTTGTTAAATCGTTTTGGAGTTAAAATAAGTTACTTTTGTGATGATGATATAGAAATTATACGATTTTTATTTATTATTCTTTTTGTTCTAGGGGATGATATAAAACTGTGTCCGAGATGTCAAGTGTTAATAGTGAAAATGGACGACGGTTCATGTAATCACATGATGTGCGCCGTCTGCGGGGCGGAATTTTGTTGGCTGTGTATGAAAGAGATTAACAATCTTCATTTTCTTAGGTGAGTAAATACCGTAATTAAGAGTGAGCGGGTCTTGATAATCAGACCACCTACTTCGCTTCTCTGACATTCAAAATAGCTCATTTAGAGCTGATCAGTGTTTTGGGTGCTTTAATAGCATTGTTATAGACGCAAAATAGAAGAAAAGGATTTAAAGAATAAGTCACTGCAAACTCTAATAAAGTTGGTAAAATTGTACTCAATGTGAGATTTGTTGTGGTTTACCATTAGACAGTTTTTTTTAATATCATGCACATATTTCGTGTTCATTATTTTAATACATTTTGAAGTCGATCCATTTCCAAGTTTATTCATGTTGGAATATTTCACAAAATTAATTGAAGAAAACATTTTCACATGAATATGTTGATCCGAACATTATTAGAAAAGCGTTAACCAGTTTCCTTAAACATGTAAAATTGTACTTTTAATATAATATTTTCTCCTCTGCCACTACTGAATATAGTTCTTCCGAAACTACGTAATAACAAAGAAAACATTCTCGCTCTTGAGATTGAAAGAAAATTCTAAAATACTTAACTTTTATGTATTTTGCACGTATTTCATTCTCTAGTGACAGAATGATCATTCTGTAATAGCTACTGGCCATGCAATGGATGTGAATATCACGTCCGCATCGTAGATAGCCATTAATTTCATGATTGACAGTTCTACGCGATATATCAGGTTGCGTGAAAGAGCGCCACTTAACTGCTGTTCTGAGAATTTGCAGTTAAGTGCGAACGTTGCCCACTGCTCGATGTGTAAGAAGTTATTATCTTTCTACTGTTTTCTTTTGTTTATATTATATGTGAGATTATGAGCAATAAAGTTATTATTATTTAGTTTGCACTTAAATAAAGATAAGCGGCGTTTGTTGAACTTAAGTTCAAAAATGGGTGAATATAATGATTCTGATATGGAATTTGATAATTATCCTTCTGATCTGACAAATTACGCAAATGATTTAAGTAAAAACTTGCCTAACATTAGTTAGATTAAATATTTCATTTAGTTCAAAGTTTCATTTTGCTATATTCAACTCCTACTGTGTCTGTAGCCGTGGAGAAAGTACAGTCTGTTATTCTGTTGGAGTGAAAATCCGATACTCTTGGTTCTTCGCTCTAGAATCTTCCACTCGTATCGAATTTTCAATCCAACCTTGTTACAGAATATACTATTCAAATTTTAATGTGAGATCAGCATTACTTTCTAAAAATTTTCCTTCATTTTCGAAAATCAAGTTCTTAAATTAATTTGTCTACATTATGATGTATTGGAATTCATTTAATTTTATTTCTATGTTAAGTGATACTTATCCACATAAAATCGTTTAACTGTATTGTATCTTACTTTGCTTTATGTGGGCATAAAATAAAACTAAATGTATTTTCCAATTGTTTAAATTGATTATATCTCCTGGAAAGCTTGTTTTATTTCTTGCAAAATAGTTAAATATTTTTTAATTGCATTTTCTTGTGTCAATTTTCAAAATCTTTAGTACTTTGAAAATGTTTTTGTAACTGAGGATAATATTTCATGGTGCTCATTTCCAAATCTTTAGTAAAGGTGTTATGTATCACCTTATTCTTTTTGTAAAAATGTCAATTTTTCCATAAATATCTTGATATTTTCAAATATTATGCAATTTATCCATGTTCCTCTAGTTTTTTATTCAGTTCATTGAAATACTGAACATAAAAACATTAAATAAACTAACCAATCTATATTTAAAAATTTGTTATTTCTTATCTTTTCGTATTCAAAAAGAGCTTTATTTCTTCTAATAAAATTGTGAACCGATTAAGAACTTGACTGCAACTGAGCCATCAAACATTGTTGTATGTCAAATTCACAAAATATTGGCACTCAATTTTCTCTAATAATTGATCAAATTTTTGCGTTTATAAAGAACTCCAATTACAACTGGAATTATATTAGAAAATGTTTTAGAACATAGTACTTGGTGATTCTATCAAGACATGTCTAATATTTTGCTTTAGCTGCCGAATATAACCAATTTTTATCTCACTACATTGAGAACACTCTCTGTAGGTTAATTTTCATTCCTTTGGAAGCATTATCAAATTCTTTACTAATTACAAGACCAGTACATCTTTCTCTCGTCTAAAGCAATCCAACACATTTCTCTATACTTTAAGTCGTTATTTGATGAGAAACATTTCTTTCCAACTCTATTACTCGATCTTTAAAAGTATTGGGGCTTATTGTTAACTTATTTGTATTAAAATATTTGACGTTTCTGTATATCTTTTTCAGTCCATCTGGTTGCACCTTTTGGGGCAAGAAACCGTGGTCGAGGAAGAAAAAGATCTTATGGCAGTTAGGAACACTAGTCGGAGCACCTGTTGGTATAGCTTTGGTAGCGGGAATTACAGTACCTGCAATGGTGATAGGTAAGTGTGATCCATAAACATAATTTTGATCCTAATAATATAAATATTTATATTTTCATTATTGTTAATCCAACAGTTTGTTGTTTCTCTAACTATATTTACTGAACAGTTTGGCTTGTACTTTTATTGCAAGTTTTACGCATTAGCAATTTTTAAGTCTGTTTTGACGATTCTATTTTTTTATTTGACAGGCATTCCAGTTTGGGTCGGTAGGAAATTATTCACTAGGTATAAGTCTTCTGGGAAACACAAAAGAAACGCTGCTATAGTTAGTGGAGTCGTAGCATCGGTAAGTACCTTATTTATTATTTATCAAATGTAATATTAAATGAAATAAATGTAGTAGTCAACATTTAGCAGCCCCCGAGATAAATCGCAACTCATTTTTAAATTCTTCTAAATGAATTTTGAAATATTGAATTTCTGGAAAACTCTAAAACGCGTTAAAAGTGGGGTATTTTTCACGTTTAGTATGACTGTATCCGTCTGTGTAGATAATTTTTGAGTTGGCTGTAACACTAATCGGTAAATCGTTAATAAAAATTGGACCTACTATTGACCCTTGCGGTACTTTTCCTGAAAATGTTTGATTGAATTGTTTATAATACGAAGAGCTAATAAATATAATGCCCCCTCCTCTAATCCAGTAATAGAATTTCTCTAAAAGATGTTCCTGACTCACGCAGTCCGTCAAAATAGCAGTAGGATCAGTGGCAAAGCTTCCATTGATGCGGTCGATGCGTCGCATCCATTCAAAATATTGTCAGCTAATATTTTTTATTTGAAATAAAATCAATAAGATCTCTTATAATAAATTGAAACTGTCAGTGATTATTCAAATAATTAAATTAAATTCCAATTATTTATATGTGTATTTATCGAGCTTTATAGAAATATTTCGACAGCGCTATGATGCGAGATGCGATGTCTCTTATTACATCTTGAACGCCTGGTGGGACGAGCCGAGGTCAGCGACCTTTCCGGCCGTGATTTTGTATTTCCAGTCCGCAGTTTTCGCAACGTAATACATGTTTTCGCAAATCTGCACACCAGAAGGATTGATCTTAATTTCAAATTGAAATCTAACAGATAAATTCACATTTTTGTTTTTTTTTTTTACGTAAACTGTCCTACTTTAATTTAGTTCACTTTTTTTATTATTTTGATTATTTTTTAACCTGCCACATTTATTTGTATACTTCATTTGTCCAAAATTTAAAAAAAAAAACTTGATAAAATGTGAATTGCAGTTACTCATTACATCCCCTTGCAGAGCTCGATTTTTTTGTGAAGAGCACATTTCGTCATAGCTATGCTACACTCAAAATAGCTAAATAAATGCAACAAGTACAAATAAGTAACACTATGGTACTGAATTCAACTTGTATGAGCGGTCATGAGCGGCAGGTGGCTTCGATCACGTTTAAATCTGTCTGACCACGCCTACAAACTCAAATTGGTTTCTGCATATTATGACGAAGTGTGCTCTTCACAAAAAAATCGAGCTCTATCAACGCCACGCTACGCCACTGATCAGGATATTTCTTTTTGTCTATAGCTTCTAACACTTGACAATTTTTACACTATTTAATAATAGAAAATGTATAGAGTTAAAATAAATTATTTGGGAAATGCAAACATTTAAAATTATTAACAAAATGTAATCTTTATAATAGGCATTCCAAACCACGTGACCTTTTCACATTTGAAAGTTTGCTCGTTAGGCACACAAACAAAAAATCGCATTCAGTTGATAGTTGATTTATTTTGTTTACGGGTCAGAATTTGGAAAGGCATTTGCCAGTTCTCCCACTTCATATACAGGATTTGACAGTTTTGCCGAGAAGCTAACCGAACTGAACACGAAACATTGGCATAGAAAATTATTTTATTAATGGTAATATTATTTTTGCGTAAATAGTTTAATAAATTGTGAATAGCTGTTGAAGTTGAATTATGATTTGGGATATTATTACTTGTTTAAATAATAATTTGTAGTCCATAAATATATACGTTTGCCTGATCCCGCCGGTAATAATTTAAAATGTTTGGTATTATTTTTATTCTACGATACGACACTGTCGAAGAAACATCGCCGCAAAATTCTCGAAGTCGTCCGACGAGGTTTGACGTTCACCACCTCTTTACTAACCAACAGTATTTTTAACTGCTGTCCCTGCTATACGACTTAATTTGGTGATATAACAGGGTGATTTGTAATAATGTTCAAGTATTTTAACAGGGTGTTTTAGTAACCATTTAAAGAGTGTTTTCATATAAAATTTTGCAATTTTGGTTCTCTCTGACCAGTTATTTAAATAGAAAATGGTTAGACTTAGAATTTGTAATTTAGTCGGACCCTATTTCGTGATGGTGTCTTCTTTCATTTTTTTTAAGCCAATTACAACAACAACAAAAACAAAAAACGTTTTCAATACTGCACCCAATTTAGAAACTTTTTAAATGTTGTAATTTTTTCGCACATTCAACAGTTTGTTTTAATAAAATGGGACGCTTCTAAAAAAAGAGGACCCAATTTGTAAAATTCTATAAGAAAACGCCCCTTAAATGGTTGGATTAGATTATATTTAATTAGGACTGTGGGCCATGTGGCCTCCTCCACCTCGACCTTTTCAAATCTATTGTGGATATTCTTTAATCGTTAGAGTACCTTGTCTAATAGCACTGTTACCTCTTACCCTGTTAATAGTACTCCAGTATTTTTCTTGTTATGGCTTAGTAAATGCTCGGTGTGTTTAGGCGATGGTCCTTTTAAGAACTCTTTGGCCTGTCTCTGTCCTAGTGAATTTTTTCACCATTCTTGAGTTTTTTAAACATCCACTGCTTTGGGAATGTTTGATAGCTGTCTTTGTGACACCTCAGAGGGGTTCTGGTTGGTGTAACAGCCTATTAAAATATTGGAACCTCATTACGAAACAATGAATATAAATGTTAAACTGATGTTTGCCTGAATAAAGTGATCTAGCAGATGTGATTAACAGTCAATGTAGCTTATAATAATTTTATACATTTTGGTGTAAAATCAATTTTGCTTATAAAGTTAAGTTTATATTAAGATGTGTGCATATATATTACAAAAACTCGATAGTTTACAAATAACTAGAATGTCAATAGGTAAAATAAAAATTCTATGATAAAATTGAAATTGTATAAACAAATAAAAACTTACCAATGATCTACATCGGTAACTTTATTTAAGATTTGGTTGTTACGTTTGTTGCTATGAAGTTGTTGATTGAAAGATTAACATTAAGCTTGAAGGCAACATTTTTCGAATCTAAATACTGTTATATTCGTAAGAATCATAATCTTTATTACCTTTTTTTGGATTGATGTAAGTTTATTAACACATAAATGTAAAAAAAAAACAGGTTCCTGAATGATCTGTAGAAAATAAATTTAAATTCGAGAGACGCTAAAATGGTGGTACCCACCTACCTTATCGAGACTGAGGCCCACAAGGGCAAACTCGTAGCGTAAAAAAAACGAGAAATGATTGGTTAATTTATCCAATAATAATTGGCCCCTTTACCTCTTAAGCATGCTCATGTAAAATATTTGGGCTCCTTACTTCGCCTATTTATATAATATTAATAAAGGACAGAAGGATGAGTATTGCAACTATATTAAAAGAAATAAATCGGCTTTCAGTTCAGAATTATGTTCAGTACATGACTGATATTTATTTACAAAATAAAAATGGCATAGTACCATCGCATCAGATCTATTAGAAAAAATTGAATATAATTCGCAATATCACAACTATAATACAAAAAACCAATCTCACTTTCATGTACGGCAAGCCATCACTAAAAGTTTGCAAAATACAATTTTTATTAAAGGTTTGCAAAAATTTCATAGATTGTCTACAGAAATTAAAAAAAAAAACAATAAATGTATTCAAAAGTAACCTCAAACAGAACAGATATACCTACTTTCTTCTGATAATACTCTTAAACCTGTCCTTTTTAAGGCTTTCCCTTAATTTATTGTTATTTTGCCCCTCGTTTTACCCGCATTTATTATAAATTATTTCTGTTTTGAGATCATACACTTTATTTTAAAAAATTACTTGATGTTATATTAATACTACCCATCATGTTTAAATTATTAATAGTTTTGTTACTATAGGTTATAGCAACTTATAGCTACAAAACTATTTTTGTGTTAAAGTAGATCCATAGAGATAAATATAATTTACAAAGGCCTTCTTTCAACATACAAATAAATGATAACTTTATAATTAAAATGAAAAACACAACAAAATACCTCGGTATCATAATGGATCAAAATTTGAAATATGTTGATTACATTACGTCATTAACAACCAAAGTTAGAAGATTCATTTTAAAATTTTATAAATTGAGGAAATTTATGACTAGGAGTTTACTAATTATTATTTACAATTCGCTGGTTGAATCTATTTTGCGATATGGTATAATGTGGACTATATGATATTGCACTTCCACTCCTTAATGTAATCCAAAATCGTATAATTAAAATTATCTACAAAAAACCAGTATAAAAAATCCTCCACTACACCTTGTGGTGGAGAAGGAGGCTATGGCGGCGGCATACAGGCTGTTTACTAATGGATTTGGATGGGAACTTTCGAGAAAAGGACACCACACAATGATATTAGAGAAATTAAAACAAAATCCGGTACTAAGAATGCCATCGGATAGAACGCCCATTATTCACGACTTCAAGAAACCTTTTGATATTCAAATACCAGAAAGGGCCAAAAGCCGGGAAAAAAGGGAAAAACAAAACGAATCAATCTGGTATACAGACGGTTCGAAAATGAAAAACAGCACAGGAGCTGGGATCTACCATGTGAACTCAGGGAGGACAATTAGTTTGAACCTGGGGTCACTGACAACAGTCTTCCAGGCTGAAGTAGCAGCAATAAATTCCTGCGCCAAAGTCATGCTAAATGACTCTCTTAGAGATAAGAGAATCGTTATCATGATAGACAGTCAGGCAGCCCTTAAAGCACTAAAAAGGGTAGAAGTACAATCTAAATCAATATTTGATTGCCAACAATCCAATCCCTCCAGGCTCTGGCAGAACATAACAAGGTTACCCTTGAATGGGTGCCAGGACATGAGGGAGTGTTTGGAAACGAGAAAGCAGACCTCCTAGCAAGGAAGGGTGCGGAAAAACTCTTATTGGACCAGAACCCACATGTGGTATCTCATACCAACATGTTAAATGGGTGTTAAAGGAACAAATAAAAAGAGAACACCATAGGCTCTGGATAGAACT